CGGGGCCCAACCTCCGTGAACAGCGCCACAACTTGAACTTGAATGGCGCGGGGGATATTGTTGAATTGAAACAGTACAGTTGCCACTCGCTCCAAATATTCTCCCTTGTGAGGACGCGCAACGTCAAATCCTGCTGTAACGGCTCACCATATCCTCATACAGCCGCCTCCGCTGCAATGCCCGATTGCGCAGCGTGGACATGCACACCCAGCATGCCCGGTTAAGGCCCCTGCGGACACAGGCCAGTGCTCCATCCAACCGAGCTGCGTACTCTGAGGTCCTCTCTACCTGTGGGTACGCTCGGCTGCATATCCCAGTGCTGTGCAATCACGGCTGTAGGTACCTGTCGGCGGCTTTAACACCCTTGTATTGTTCGCACAATCTCCCTTTGTGTCTGACGACGCAACAAGGTGTCTATCCACAGCCCGCCCAAGGAGCGCCACATCCGCCTCTCTTGCTCACTTGCCATATAAACTGGACATCATGGTGCGGTTTATTGTCCATCCATTACCACCCGCACCTGACATCCAGTCTTTCGTTACGTCCAGCTTCTCTTTCTCAAGAAACTCGTTTTCAGAAATCATTACACAAAGGAGAGAATGCCCGCTACAGCTGACAGCCCTGAGCCTTCCGTGCCTCAGCTCGGGACGGTCGAAGTCAAAGTATCTTTCAAGGGCGACGGAGCAGTCGACGACGTGCTCCTGAGGAATGTTTCGACACCACTGACATACAACGGCCTACAGCATGCACTCGTCGCACAGGGTACGTCTTCCCGACATTTCACATCTGGACACCCATGCTTACGCCCTTACGCCACACTATTCCACCCATCAGGCCTGCACAGTCCACAGGCCCTACTGGTCCTCCCACAAGAGTACCCGCTCACAATTACAGACGCTCCTTCCACATTTGATCCGACGGTCGGGGGGACGATCAATCGGTCTGTTCTCTCCGCCTCGCTACCCGGCTCTGCTGACAGGCGGGCCCTTCCCAGAGACCAACCGCTTCTACTGTGGTACAGCGAGGTGTTCCTCCCACAACAGGCAGCTCTATTAGCGAAAGCGGGAAAAGTGCAGTCGACCGCCGCTCTGCCGCCCGGCCCATCTCCGCCCGCGAAGGTGAACCACACTCCGGAGGGACCACACGGCGTCAACGTGGGAGGCGTGGTGTGCGACTTCAAAAGGTCCGTGTTGATTGCGTTGTACGGTGCGCCGCGCGGCCGTGGACCGAGGCTGATGCTCATCCGTATCCTAGGACTATTCGGGTTCCGGGTACGCATACGAGAGCGGGACCTGGAGCTCTTGTTCGCTGATACTGTTACCCAGATAACAAGATCCGCCAGGCACTGCCCCCGTCGTTTGGTTCGTTCGCCGTATAGTGAGTGTCAGCGGTTTGCGTTCCACTGAACACCTCCTGACTCTGTGCCAGCGACACGGCCGATTCCCCCTCCCGCCTCCCTGCGTCTATTGCGGAGAGCAATGACGTTTTCTTCGTGCGTACGCTGTTTTTCACTCGTGCTGCCTCCTCTGAAGTCTCAGACGAGTTTTTAGACAATGTACCAGCGCGAGGCGATGTGGATCGACTTCAAGCTGCCCGACGGAGAGGCGCCACGCGCTGTGAAGGTGTTTGTCGGGGACGTCAACGCGCTAACAGGCACACCCCGCGGCGAGCCGGTGAGAGGAAAGCAAGACTATTGTGCCGTGCGTTCAGACAGCTTAGGTCAGAGGTGAGTAGCGGTAACGCCTGCTCCTTCCGTCATCGATCTGACCACATGCCTCTCAGATGGCTCGTACGTGTCATTTTGTGCAATTAGGATGTCTCATGCTCATTTCTGAACTACTAGGATGGTGTCTCTACTGAGCCTGGGGTCGTGCGCCGTATGTTGCTTTCGTCAGGAAATGACCATGCCACCTTGACTCACTTTGTTTTAGAATTCGTGGCGATGCCTCTCGGACAGGGGTACACAGTCGAGGGACAGCTGACAGGGAAAGAGGTGAAGTCAAATGTCTCGCTCATACGCACGTTATCTCAGCGGGATCGCTCCACAGAATGTTGGCGGGATACAAATCGAGGTGTATCCGGCACTGCCGAGGACTGCAGACTTCTACCACGGTAGGCGACAATTAGATCTGCACCGGACTCCTCGCGAGCTTTTTATGGACGTTGGCACTATCCTCAAGTTCAAGGACATCTCCCCGTGAGTGCCCCTTCTACCCCCGCGAGTTTCAACCTCATATTCGCGGACAGGGAAGCCCAGAGACGGATTCTAGTGGAACCCAGCATGTCAGCGGTGCTTGTAACCGCCCCGCGGGTGGATATGATTGCCTATACAAATTACGACATCAACGAAAGTGCGTTGAGCGTCATTAATCCCCCTTTGCTTCCAATAATGTTCTTTGATAGAACTCTATATCAAGACCGAATTGAAGACGCTCACGCTAGACTTTCCGGAAGCAGACGAGATCGACAGGCTCCTCAAGAACCTCCGGAAAATGTCGTCTCCAGGATCAAAGTATATCGCTGATGTTACAATGAAGGGCAAGAGGCTGAACCCCACCGCGAAGCTGAGCGGTAAGTCCCGCCCCTGCGTCCACCCTCCGCCGTCGCTCACCTCGCTCAGACTATGACATCGTCCCCGGCTGCGTGCTCGACGCCGTCGAAGAGGAAGACGACGACGACGAACTCGACATGGACAGCCTCCGGCCGCGCGGCGTGCGCAGCCTCGGGCTCGCCGCGGGGGGCACGATCGCGCAGAAGATCGTGCAGGACCCGCTCCCCGCGTGGGCGTACGACTGGGCGCACCGTACCCGCCTGCGCGCCGCGCTCCTCAACTCGGCCGACTGCGCCGCGCTCACGGGCCGCGCCCCGCCTGAGCCCCCCGTCAGCGCGCAGACGTACCGCCGGCTCGGCTTCCCG